GAAAGCCACGGTTGGCAGTGGCAGAATGTCGAGCCATCCTCCTGTTCCCCAATGCCTGTCATCAAAAGGTGCAGAAATGCTTTTGACATAATCTTCTGCACTGACAGATAAATGGTTTTGATGTAAGGGTCGGAAACCTTGCTGGACAGAATTCAGCCGTCATCGTGGTGAGCAGAGACCAGGAGCCGCATGTCTGTCTGTCCCTTTGGCGAGTCAGCAAGGCACCCTTGTTGTCGAGAGAGTTGGCTTTTCTCTGTTGGCTAAGTTCCCAAAGCAGAGCCAAAACTTCTACATGAACTCCCGGTCTACCCCGCACCTTGCCCAAGGAGTCAGGATTGGCATCTCATGGTTCAGAGAGCTGACTGATCCCCCCTTGCTGACAAGCAGGACTCTTTATGTGACAGCATTATTACTTTCAGGAGGTGGTTTCAAGGCAGGCTGTGTACCTGCCTATATTTAACAAGGCTTTCCTTTCAGTCTCTGCGATGTTCAGTGATCCACAGTGCCATTTTCACAATGCTAACTAAAGGCAAACACTGCTTTCTTATTTAGAGACTGGAATGGATGAACAGATCGAACAGGGCCCTTCCTATATTTTTTTAACAGGCTCTCAGTGCCTGATCACAGGCATCTTGGTGACAGGAGGGGAAAAACCCTGCATTGTTGGATTAGCCAGCACAAGGTAGACTTGAAGTATGCAATGGATAAATAATGTGCAGAGCACTTCTCATGCCATGAAGTCAAAATATAGTTAAAAAAAAAAAAAAACCCAAACCAACCAAACAAAGAAAAACCCACCCAAAAAACCAAAGCTCAGACAAGGTCCTATTTAGCAGGAAAAAACCAATCTGAAAGTTAGGGGACACTCAAGTTAGTGGTTGTGCTCTGTCTTATCTGCCATCTGTAGAAGCTTCTAACCTTGGTAGAAGGCTTCCCTGGCCTTCCAGCCCAGGCTACTCTTGTCCAGGATTCCTGTAGGTAATCTGTTGGGTTCTGTTGTCTTTCTACATTTGCCGTTGAAGGTTCAGAATACCCTGCCACGAGTAACTCGACAGAAACACATACCCATCTTTGTGCACGGGTATGCCCACGTTGGGGTGAAGCTAACCCTGTATGGGGGTGCAGGCGCCTGGAACCGGGCTGACTGCACGCCAGAGACACGATGTCTTGGGACTGGTATAAACACGGTGGATGATGCGTTATAAGCTGCTGCTTTGGAGAGATGCCCAGCACCTGAGATAGCGGAGATAGCTTAGGGGAGTGCTGTTTGGGGAAAGGACAGGGGTTTTGAGGGCTTTGAAGAAGACATCTTAGAATACTGATGGCAGAAACATGGGCTTAGTGTGAGCCATTGCACTGCTGCATGGCGTCAGGCCAAAGGGCTCCTGGGGAAGGAATGCGTTCCGTGCTATGGAGAGCAGAAACGGAAGGGTGATGTCCCCAAGTTTGGCATCTCCAACCTGTCTGCATTGCTGGTCTGCGTGGCCTGGCGAGGCCTCGCTGATGGGGACGTTACAGCACGTCATGCGTTGCTGTACGTTTGGGACCCATGTTTTGTGCTGAGGTGCCACGCACATGACCTCAAGTTTTGAGTTCCCTTCTTTATTTGCATTACTGGAGCCCGACCAAGATTGAGGCCTCGTTTCATCAGCATCAGGCAATCCGAGACAATACCTACCTCAATTTTATTTACAGTCTAAATAGACAAGACAGACAAAGGGTGGCTGTGGAAACAAAAGCTCTGGAGAGGTGATGTGACACGACCCGGTCACCCAGCGGGAGATGGAGAGAGCCAGGAATAGACGGAGGTTTCCTGACTCGAGGTCCCAATGATCTATCTATTGGAGCATGTTAATTGTTTCTCCCATTTGCATGCTGTGACTAGCATGCCAAATAGTGTCTAGTGAGGGGATCTGAGCTCTGGGAAACACATCCTTTGATTGCTAATGCTTCAGGCTAGAAATTCCGGGGCATTTTAACCTAAGTTAAGGTACAGCTAGTCTCAGAAATTGAGTAAATGGTTGATTTTGTTGTATGTATATAATTTCAAGTCTCCTGTTTAATTTGTACTGACTGTTTCTAGCTTTCATTTCCCCACTGACTTTTGAACAGTGTATTGTGTGCTTGGTGAGGATACCCGGCAGTCGGAGTGGGTAGCGTGGGGAGGGCTGAAGACTTTGGCATACAAATAGGTGTTCACCTGTATTTCTGCTGCAACCTCTGGAAAGTCTCTGTTGCTGGAGCAGGCAAAACTGTGGCTGTGCTCTGAAGAGCCAGCTACTTGTGCAAGGTCTTTGATGTTCAGGCTTCTCGAGTGGCAGCAACAATAATCATGAAATCCTTTAATTTATGAAGACCTTCGTTTTATCACTTTGAACTTCTGAAGTTCACATCAGCATCACTCAGTGCTTGAGCATTGGCTAAGCCAGGGATCTGTTCCCTATGACGAGTGCAGGGGTGATCAGTTTGGTGCCTGTGATTCTCAGGTCTTGGTTCATAAAATAGCCACTTAGCCTATTGCAGGAGAATGTTTCGAGGATAAAGACATTACCTTAAGAAATGCAAAGATTTGCAGCAATGGAAGGCATAAAAATACATTAAAACAGATGGATTCATGCACGGTCACGACCGTGGCTGTGTTTCCCCCTTGCAGTTTGTCACTAGTATTTCTGTGTCCGCTTTATTGCGTTGAGTCTATAGGATATTACCAGTTGTATTTTCTCTTTTTGCCTGTACATCAGGCAGGGGCAAGCTCCAACCTGATTTTGCTGTGTGGTTTAAAAAAAAGTAGTAGTAATGTAATCTGTGGGCAAATTGCACTTTAATTCGTAACTGTGCTATGAATATGGACTTGGCTTTCAAACACACTCTGAGTTTAAACTGCAGTTTGACTTTTATTTAGATAAATGCCTTTGAGTTCATAGTGAAATGGATATCTGCTGTAGGCTGGTATTGATTTAAAGGTCTCCTGAGTGTTTTAAAAGACAGTAGGGGCTTACAGGACAGCGTATTTTAAAACTAGATGCTTGGTTAGTTTTTACACTCCTGTGTAGCTTCAGGTCTAGATTCTGTTAAGAGCCAGCCTGGGTTGTTGATTTGTAGATCCTTCTTTCACAGCAGGTATTGGCAAAAAATGGACCATGTCAGGCAAGATGCAAGGAGGCGTCTTCAGAGCTGGCCACTCTGCAGCGATGGGGAACGTCGCGTGGGTGAGGGCTATCGAATGGTTCCCGTGTGTAGGGGAATGCTTTGAGGACTTCCCATAAATGCATTACGGGAGGGCAGGTGATCAATAACTGCTTTTTAGCTTGAAAGAGGTGTTTATCGCTTCCTGCTAATCGTGCAAAGCTGGTAGGCTTTGTAGTCCTCCTACTCTTGGTGTTTGTAAGTGGTGCTGTGGGCCCAGGTTTCTCTTTGCACTCCTGCTCAGCGCAGTGGGCTAGCACGAGCAATTCGAAGATGAGATCTCCATCTGTGCTCTTCTGTACCCCTTTTTTGTCTTGCTCAGCTCCGGGGTCACACAGCACGGGTAGAAGTTCAGTAGGTGCCTCTGACTTAAGGTCCTATTTACTTGTTTGGGCTCCAGTCCTGCTTGAGGTCTGCGGGCACAGCTCTAAAACAAAGCAAATCTACAAAACGGGGAAGATGGCCAGTTTTCTAGTCAGACTGGCTTGGTGGTTTGAATAAGCAGCTGAGTGTTTGAGGGCTTATCTAAAATCAGGCCACGGATCTTTTGGGTCATGTTCAGAGGTGCAGTAAGAGGGTGTAACCTCCCCGCAGAGGAGATGGGAGGGTTGAATTTTACCCAGGATAATATCCTAGAGCAGGGTGTGGAGCGGGGTGAAATTAAAGCAGGTCCCCCTCACAATTGCCTTACACCTTCTTGCAGTTGCTTTTCTTGCTACCACCCATCAATCTGCCTCCTCCCTCTTCAGATTACACACCTACAGGAACATGCCAGCACTGCATACATCATGTTAGTTAGGCCATTTGTTAATTTCCGCATCATTAGTCACTTGGTCTTAATTGTGCTGTCCCGGTAAGTCCCTAGCTGCAGGTCTGACCTGTAGCGTCTGATGTGCCGATAGTGCAGATCTGGGAGGGGAATCTTTGCTGTTGCACCATGTGATGCTACAGCAGAGCATGGCACAGGTCTTGCGTGGGGTTTTCAGTGTTGGTATTTTATTGGCATTATTTTGTCTGCTGTTCCTGGCCAGCCTCGCAGTACCTTCCTCCCAGAACGCTCTGGCTGTATTTCCCAACAGGGATGTCCTGCGAGGCAGGCCTGCTCTCCCAGCGATAATACAGCACAACATTTTGCCAACCTCTCCATCAGTGAAGTGCTATGATGGGATCGAGATTTGGACTGCCAGGTAGCTGGAAAGCATTGGCTGGGATTGTTGAAGGACAAAGCACAGACTACCATGTGACCAGCTGAAAGCTGTCATCACACTGATTTTAAAAAACCCCAGCATTTAGGGATATACGAATAATATCTTCTTAGAAAACATAGAATGTATTTTATGTTTACACATAGTAAGTGTATGTACCTGTGTGTAGTTTTGCCTGTAGGTAATACACACTGGTACATAAAAAAATTAAACCCTGTGTGAATATGGCTATAAAATATTTAGCAGAAGGTCTGTTGATTGTTTCAGTTCAGACTTTAATTTGTCAGGAAATATCCCATTCATCTGTGATTAGTTTTGTGGTTGTGAATAACCAATAGAAGAATAATAAATGTAATTGTGTATTATAAAGACAAATTAAAACCACACTAGTGCAAAAGGGGAAAAAGCTGAGGGAGAGCTAGGTAACATTTTGATCACCAGACTGAAGTTAAGTTGTGTGTTCAGCAGAAAAGTGCTGCTCTGCCATGTTTAAGTGCTGTTGTTAAAAACAAACCCATCCTCTCAGTGCAATCCAGAATAATTAAGATGACTGTTTTGCTGAGCACGGTGACTGCAGTATGCTGATCCCGCTGTCTTTTATTTTAACAGAAACCTGAGCTACAACAAGTTGACGGAGATTGATCCCTCTGCCTTTGCAGGGCTGTTGGACCTGCAGGAAGTGTAAGTATTCTTTCAAAGGTTCTAATTATATTTTGCCAGGGCAGCTTGTGGGCCGGGAGGAAACTGTGTGTAGTTTCCTAAGATGGTAGCTTTAGCTCACTTGAACGAGCAGATCCAACTCGGTGTGGAGGTTTTTTCTCCACGTTGTACCTGTGCTGTGTTTTTAAACTAATTAATTAGCAGAACACAACATCCCCATTAAAACAGCATAGCTGTTATTGGAAATCATTGGAGTTTGCCTCCCTCTGTCTTGTGCAATGCTCTGAGGGAGCAGTTCAGCTAACACACCTGAACATACACACAAAGCTCCTTGCTGAAAGGATAACCCTGAAGCAAGGCAGAACAGCTTGGATCATGATACCTGATGCCAACCTAACCCAAATCTCCCAGGAAACAAAGGTGTAGTGTGGTGGATTAACAAAGCACTTAACTGTGTCTCCTTCTCTCTGACATGTGTGCTCCTTTTGGGACCAGAACAAATTCTGTTTGAAGTCTGCTAGGAGAGGCTAAAACAGCAGAGCTGTCTTCTGCTTTAGTGGAGGAAAAGGAGCTGGTGAAGGTCTGAGTGGCTGTGCCAGACCCCCCTTGCTGGTAAAAGAAGCCTAGTCTGGGGAATCACAGCATTTCCTAGCTCCTGATGTGTGTAAATGCTCAGCGGTGTTACACTGGCAGAGCTTGTCAGCTACTCACAGTGATTCCTGGAGCTCTGATTTTGGGGTTTGAAAATCTAAAGTGCCTAAAACTGCAAGCGGTGGGTTGAGGTAATGAGCTCGTCTTTGAATGTTGAATCGCTGGCATACTTGAGGTTTGGGCTCTGTTTGAAGAGCTACTGATGCCTCATGGGAAACTGAAAAAACACTTCCCTTCAGAAACAATACTGCGCTCTGTGTATATCATGCATTTTCTCTTGTCTTTTTCATTAAGTGCTGGCTCTGGGGCTTGTGGAGGGGCCAGATCCTGTGATTCTTAAGTAGGCAAAAAAGTTTGCTGCAGTAGGAGTGCTGCCTGACTAATGCCTGCGGGATTGGGATGTGGGGATTGATGTAGTATCTCTCCCCCTGGCTCCCCTGCTTACACTAGTAGTAGGGCTTGATAGGGATCATGACTAAGTGAGGAGTGTGCATCAGGAGTGGCTGCAGTGAGTTCATCATGGTCATCCCAGAGAGCAGTAAGGGAGAGGGGAGAGAAAGTGATGCAGGTGAGCCAAACGCTGCCTATGGGATCTGTTTTCTTAACTCTTCTTAAACTGTGGAAAGCCTTAAATTGCTCTGTGCTTAAAGAAGAGAATCACAGCCCTGATCCCATGAGACTTCAGAATTAGCCGAACATCATTGTGGCTTAGCAATAGCTTTTATTTGTGGAAGTGCCTGAAGGCATATGACTTCAGGAGAGTGGGCCTAGGAAATGTGTGTGGCTTCTGAGTCCTTTAGGTAGGGAGCTCCCCTGTGTGATGTGCCGCACATGTTGAGCGGGACAAGCCGTGAACTGAGCAGTCAGCTGCTAAAAAAAAAAAGGATGTCAGGGTTTGGGGGAGGTAAGTAATGCAGCACGCAAAGTAATGGTGCAGATAAGAGCTGCGTGCTGTGTCAGAAAGGCAGGGCTAGGGAAAAGGGG